ACCTGCATCTGGGCTGATATCTCTTCACCACCGACAAACCCAGCGAGCAGGCTCGCCAGATAAGCCTCGCAATGCAGCGTGCCGAAAAAGCTCCCGTCAAACGATAAGAGAGAGTTAAAAAATGCGGCGCTCTTGGATAGAGACTGGAGTTTGGCAAAGAGGGTTCTGGGCCACTGCAGAGCTTGACCAGCATTTCATTTGCACATTTCCTCCAGCTCGCCAGGTTGGAGTCCGCCAATGCTCTCAAACACTTGATGGTACCTGGTGTGTCCTTTGCTTCCCATGTCCGAATGGCTTTCTTGATGTTAGGCAAAGTTTCAAGAACCCCGTCAAGAAATTGGAGTATGTCAGCGTTGGATACTTCGTCACTGGCATCTGTGGGAAGTAGCGTCGAGTCGGCCAAGAGTTCCCGCCATGGGAGTAACGTCTGGTCCACAGGTGGGGCGACCAAAATGTCGACAGAAATGGTGGGGGATCGGAAATGTGGCCCGGTGACGAATCTAACGAGAATATCTACGGCATCGAAATGGGCTATCAAAAGCCTGAACCAGTCGATGTAAGAGTCTATCAGAGAAATCGTGGTACCTCCATCACTGACGGACTGGCAGACTGCTGCAACATCTTTGTCGAGTTCCTCCTCCTCTTTGCCAGGCTTTTGTGGCTGTGGCTCTCGGGGATGAGAGGCATTATAGTATCTAAGCTGGGATTCAATAGTTTTCAGGTGCATCTTGAGGGCCGCGCCGTGAGCCAGTCTCTGGATCGCATATCCATACAGCAAAGCTTTCTTCACTTGCTGTATGAAGTCACCGGTGGCCGCGGTCGGAGGCATTGTGCGTCTTTTCGGAGGTATTGGAGGGCGGATGTCGTGCAGTGCAGTCAGTGACACCGTAAACGCTTCGATAAGATAAAGCAACATTCGATGGAACTCCATGTACGATTCTTCGGTGTAGAGCCTTGCGTTTTTCTCTTTCTTGTCAACAGCCAACCGGGCTTGCTTGATCAAAATTGGGAATTTGTTGATGAATACGCTGTCTTTCAAAGGTGACAAGAATTGTTTTATGAATAGCTGATCGTTTTCGATATGCTCTTTTAGTGGCGCTCCGCGCAGCTTCTCATTGAACTCGAAAGCCGTTACTGCTCGCAGGGAATCGATGAAGCGTTGCGACCCAGACTTCGGTCCCAACCGACGAAGCATCTTCGGAAAACAAGTGGCCACAACGTGGGTTAGAAGGCGATAGAAGATATCCTTAGAATCCTTCTTGTTGTCAGGTCCTTTCATGCTGAGCAGCTTGCTCGTAATCCATAGATGCGTGGCTACCGTCTGATTGCTCCTATGGTATAGAAGAGGGTACTGGTGAGCAAGCGCCACAATGAGATTATTACACAGTCCTCACCAACATTCATCAGCATACTGCTTTATTGCCTGATCACCAACCAAGCCAAGGTTGGCCAAGACCTCTGCATTGATGATGGTGGGTTCTGGTAAGACGGGGGCCTTTGGGTCTTTGTCACTATGACGAAAATTCTGGGTGACGCAGAACTTCAACCAGAAATTTGAGGGCAGTGGCTCGGAGGAAAGTGGGTTCTGATTGTTAGAGGGAACGCAAGCGATGAGACCAAGTGTCTCAGAGTCAATAGTGTGTGCCACTGCCACAATCTCATGCTCAATGACAGCCAGAGTAGCAAAAGCGCTTGTTAGCTTGAGTTCCAGGCGCTGGGTATGTTCCTGGAGTTTGACATCTTCAACTGGGAGTACCGGTTCCTTTTGTAGCATGGAAAGCAATTTGGTGATGGTGCGGAAAGCGAGAATATTTCTGGGAATATACCCCGATGGGGAGTTCTGAGCGATGCTATCTGGGCCTCTGCGAGATGGGTTGGGAGGGATATCACTTTTCTTCCTCCCAAGAACGTGCGATACAATGGTGTTGATGAAGGGCATGACGTTGGAACTGGTCGAGTCTGAGACCGCTTGAAAGACCAAAACGACAGTCTATGAGTAATTCAATCTTCGATAACAGGCATTAGCTTCGGTATTAGAAAGGGAGAGCAAGGACATTACATACTTCAAGACGATGGAATGAAAGGTAGATGGTTGGGGTATCCTCCGCTTGCCGATGCAGCCTGAGGGAAGGACATCCGAGGGATCAGCAGAGCTCAATTGTAGGTGAGCGTGGAGGGAGAAACGTTGGCGAGCTCAGGTTGTAGGTGAGTGTGGAGGGAGAGATGTAAGTGAGTGACGAGCGCCGTTGGGGCCCTGCCTGTGGGGCTAATACTGTCCCGGGTCGGAATTACATAATAGGTCATCGGACCGGCAATAGCATAATATTGTGTTTTGCCTTTTCCATCGTCCTTCCAATCCGTCGTGAGACGATCGGAGAATATTACGAACGAACACAGACTGCCCGGAAAGAGTTCTTGTGAAGATGTTTTTCTGCAGACTCTGGTATAATCTGCACAAGAGTAATGCCATGTTTTACTACAATTTTTTCGGTAGAGTTATGAGTTTGTTGAACGTGTCGGCGGAGTATAGGTGCAATTACAGAGCTTTACCAGTACACCATCTATCTCGAAGCCTCTAGCTGTCTGCACCCCTCTGCTCATTCCCACTGTCTCTCGGTTACAACGGCCCACATCGGACGAAAATAGGACCTACGATCTGGTTCCTTGGGATGACCGGTAACCCCTTAGGCCGTCGCATAGGCGTTTTGCCTGAACCGAAAAGAGTGATCTTCAAACCTTGTCCAAAAAATGAAGTCCGTCAACCAAAAAATGTTGAAGTTGCAAACGTCCAGAAGCGACAAGGTTGAGTCCGAAAACATTGAGATTCACCGACCAAGAAAATGATGAAGCTGCAAACGTCAAAAAAGGCAAGGTTGGGGACTTCAATGCAGGGGCTCACAGAGAAGACCCGTTCTCTTAGTAAACCCGCTCAAAGTGTAGGAATGGCGAATGAAGAGCATCCATATTGAATAGGCGTCGGTGTTGAATGCTAATCAAACCATTACAGCCCCATCCAAGTTCTCCGTTTCCAATCTCTTTCGCTTGTTGGGCCCTGACCCCGTATTGTCTGCAGGATTTATCGCCTCATTCTTCTTCTGCGTAGCACGAGCTGTTCGCTTGGCATTTTGCGTGACTCGAAGGCCTCCTGCGATTTCGAAATGTTTTGCCCGCCGGTTTGCATGAAGCGGGATAGGAGCAACGAGAGAACGCGGTAAGGTTGCCCGAAGGAGGTGCGCATTGTGGAATGCATGTGTGTTAATGACAAAGCGTTCAATGGGTCTGTGTTCAATATAGGTCTGGATCAGACCGGATTCGATGCGCTCCTGCATTAATGGCCGCTTGCCCGATGCAGTGCATTTTGAAAGAGGACAATCGTGCTGTACATTGTAGAGAAAATCTATGCCCTGCACACAATGTTTACAGTGTATTATTAAATAGAAAGACAAGCGGCGCATACGTACAGTCGATGGAATGACCACATAGGTTGTTTCTTCCTGGCGTCGAGCCAGCATTGGCATTCCAAAGATCTGATGTCGAGTAGAAAGGACTTGGAAAACGTCCAGTATGACGACGGTGCGGTCGCTTGTGGTGTTTGCTAAAATTTCGACAATGCGCCCTGTAATGAGTTCGCTGGGCTATAAGAAGGGTATCAACTTGAAGGCGAATAGAATGAGATAAGAACGTTTAACTTACAGGTAACGGTGATTTTGCAAAGATCCACGATCCTACGACGCACTTGTCCTCGGAACGTGCAATAGCGAATCGGCAGGGTGTCCATTGCGAATTGGCATCTTCTGAAACGCAGTTAAGTGCCTTAGCACCTTGTGTCTGGAACCAAGGGATGTACTTTCGGCTCTCTGCCTTCTGACTTGTGCCTCGTTTGAGCGGTTCCAGTCTGAATGAACCTAAACGTCGTAAGTAAATGGAGATGCATAGTAGCAATCAGGACCTACCGTTGACAAGGGGTTCTGCACTGGTCCAACCCACCAGAGCTTGGAGAGTCGGGTGAGTGTGAATGAAGTGACGGACGGAGGGCCCTGGTCGCTCCCATTCCCCATCCACGGTTGGCCACCAACCGCCTGTGAGGCGATGTTTCAATGTTTCCTGTCCAGCCAATTGTAAGGCTATATCTCGACTTGGAGCTAGATGGTTGGAAAAGATAGAGCAGAATCTAAAGATAGCATTGAAATGCTCAAACACCTCCATTGCAACCCCAACAAGTGGTCCAAAACGAAGGATATCTTCTTTCAAGTGCACAAGAAGGTGGAGTTTGATTTTAGACGTCATTTTTGATGGGTCAATCATAGCGAATAAGTCGAGGACATTTGCAGCGGCGACTTCGATGTCAGACTGTGAACGCCAAATCATTGAAAATATGGAGAAAATATGGCACTTCAAACATACGAGATATTCTTCCATATTTCGTATTTCTGGTATCCACAGGAGAGCCGCAAGTTCTCCAACTGCTTTTGTAAGAAGGAACCGAGTGGCATCTACAAGATCATAGACATGAAAGACATTGACCTGTGCGATCGTTTTAAACTGCCGTCCGATTAGTGAGTTGGCATATTGCATGATGTAATTAGCGCGAATGGCATGGATGGAAAGCCCAGATCGTTCAGTAGATTGCAACCGAACAGAATAGATCTGTTTTTGACTAGCTGTCCATGGAGTATGTGAGCCATGCCACAAGTATTTGACGACGCCCAGAAGAATGGTGTGAAGAATTTCCACAGGAGTATCGATAGCTGGATCAAACCCTGTCAAGAATTCAGTTGGACAGCAACTGCATATTTTTCTGGGAAGCACTTGCCATCCAATACTAAAAATGGATTATAGATATCACTTTTGTGCTCGTGTACCCAGGTCAGTAGTTCCGCCTGGATTTCAAGCGCGGTCCGTTCAGGGTGGTTCTTGCGCAATATTCGCGCCCGAGCTATAAGGTCGTCAATCCAGAATTGGGTGTAAGCGTCCTTAACCCCATTCTTAGTCTGCTGATTCTGTACATTCTGGGCAATACCCAGACAGGCCAGTTCAACCTGGGACTTGACATCCAAGAGGATCCCTTCTGCAGAACGAGCGACGCCGGCCTGGATATCCCAAGTCAGTAAGGACCAGCAATGAAAAAAAGTGCCTATCTATACCTCAAAGAGGCTATGAAACCCAATATCGGTTTCTTTATCTTGTTGCGTCCCGCCAACGAGGCATTTCCTGCACGGGTGGTTTCCATTTCCACCAATGTGGCCGCAGGCTTCGCTCTGAGCTGGGTTATCTCCTGGGCCGGAGTTCGCATAGATCTTGAACCGCACTTGCATTCCTGATGTGCCATGACGAACCTTCACCGGCTTCTTATGCGTTGCCCTATCAATTATTTAGTCCCAGAGCGGCACTATAGCAACTTTGACGTACTCAATAACCTGCTTAATCCCATGGAACTGCTCAGAAATACTAGCAACTGGTGACGTTGAGATGAAATGTACATGGAATTCCTGTTGAAGAAGTTTTCGGGGTAGGTTTCGATGACTGATGTAGGTGTTCCAGTGTTTATTCCAGCTCTTTGATCTGTTTCCAGACACGTCGTCGCCAAAGACGTCTATCCAGCTGGTGTATAGGGGATCTCCTTCTGCCAGCGCACGGTCAGGGTTAGGCATATGTGCTGGATATCCGGATTCGATACTTTGACCTGTTTCTCATAAGTAGGCTTTATGGTGTAGATTGTACGCGCAACTCACGGTTCCAGGTAGGAAGCAGACCCCAATCCGTCAAGTCTAGAATATTGTCCTGCAAATCCGATGACTTTACTAAAATCATGTCGCTGTCAACGACATTGGCTACAAACTGCAACGCCCGTCAACATTCTGTATTAATCCAATTGCGAGTGGAAAATCTCGTACTTGGTCATTAAAAGTGACGGCGTAAGCATCCGCAAAGACGTTCCCTTCATTATCCTCCAGCCATCGTACTGGAATAATAAAATTGCCATTTTTGAGGCGGGCAAGTTCATCAATGTAGTAGTGGCGGTCACCAGCGTCGTACATAGGGCTTAACGTATGTCGATCCACATCCTTCCGCCATTTCTGAGCGTGATAAACCTCAGAAATAACGCCGTCTGGGGGAATTACCGGATAACGACGGATATGATCGCATACTAAGGGATTGGCCCAGTCCTACAATAAAATGGATGTAGTTTTATGTAGTATAAAGACCATTGTATTGCGCACCATAGCCACCAAAGTACGTGGATCGTTCATGGAATAAATGTTTCCTTTAGGGGACTTGTGCTGTACAGTTGGCACCCCCGATGACTTCCGGAGAGAGGTCTGCACCTGACGAAGGTGGTATAAAGAGGGGACATCTCGAGCCCCTGCTTCGCGGAGTACCCAGAGAAACGCGTTCATAAGTGAGTTTGAAAGTCGCATTCTGGGAAGGTTGTCAAGAGTATCAAGGAGAAACATCTAGATATAAGGAATGAAAAGCATGTTTAGTATTGTTGATCTGCGTGTTGAAGGCTCGACTCACCGTCTTTGATGTGTATGGCGACCAAGCTTCAGACGTCTTAGGCTGACTTGCACGATCTTGCGCCTCTTTGTCAAGTATGTCAGCCCCTTCCGGAATATTCACGTCTATCCGAAATATGAGACGCATTGAAACATATGAACAAAAGCAAGAGTTATACGCACATGTATTCCGTAGCAACTCAGTTAATACATCTTCCTGTTCGAGTTGGTCGAGCAGTAGTTCACCATCATTTGGGTCTTCTTCAGGAAGGAAATCGGCACTGCGCCAGAGATCAAAATCAGTGGCTTCTTTCTCCAGGCGTTTCCTTTCTTCGGCTGCCGCGGCTGTATGGTCGATTCCTGCGCTGAAGATATCGTTGGAAAATGCTCCGTCGTCCCACATTTCTTGTTCTTCCGCACTTGGTTTAGAAACGGGTGCTTTTGTCGTTGCTGCTGGTTCAATTGTTGAAGATAATGTAGCAAAGTCCATCCTCTCCTCAATGGCGCTTTCTTCTCGCAAAGACCGTTCCCCAGCGGAACGAATATTATCCCTATCCTGCTTGGCGTGGACGGAACGGGCATGAACGTCGGATTTCAAGTGAGAACTTAAACTTTCTTTCTGGATCCAAACGTTATTTTGTCCGCGCAGCGCTTTGCATATGCTGCATCGAACCTTCTTGCGGTCGTCCGACAACTCTATAACTGATGGATGGTTTGCGTCTTAAGTAATGCATAAGGTCGACAATGTGAAAGAAACCCACAGTCAGGCAATGCGGTCTGCGCCTTGCGCCCTTTGGCCATTGTTGAAGAGCTTCAGGAAATCCCTGGGAAAGAATGGCACAGAGGCAGGAGGAGTCAGTACACGTTTGGCTTGATCCGGCGACCCATGAGATGTTTAAGCAGTCCGGAACCAGAAAAGGACACATCGTGCGACGTCTGGCCCAAGGGTTTACGCGTAATTATAGGGAAACCAGGAGGTTGGTTTCAGCATCCATGGGTACTGCTATTTCTTCGGGTTCAGGAGAGGCCGGGGAGGGATCAGGAGAGGTACCAGAGGGGGGATTCCGTCTGGAGAGGTGGTGAGACGTTCTGGTCTTCGCCGATATAAAGGTGCTCGTAGCCTTCAAAAGGATCAAAGCCATCATCCTTGCCGTCTGAATGCTCATAGCCTGCATACTCCTGACCATTCTTCAACTTGAGTTCAGGTGCAAATTCGTCGAATGGTCCCATTCATTCTATTGTATTGACATTGGGCAGGGTGTAGTCGACGTCGTGTCGTCTTTTTTCAACACGTGTCCGCATAAAAATCTCCTACTCTATGTGAATATGTTAGTGTTCCGCCAGGGCAGGTTTTCCTCGCATTGTTTGATCCAGTTGGGGCCTCGGCATTCAATCAGCTCCGTCTGGCGTGCAGCTGTCTGGTCCAGAAAGCGCTGCTAGTCCCCACAAAGGTCGCCACCACTGCTGTGGTCCCTATCGATCATAGCTTGGAATGGGAGTGAGGCAGCGTGGCTCGCCTCGAGTCGCTGCCGCTCCCGGGCGGCATCCACAATCTCTCGCAAGTCCTTGAATAGCACTGCTCGGTCCTAGGCGTCGTTCGTGTTGACGGCAGAGCTGCGTTGTAATTTGAGGACTTGTACAGCAGCCTTGTCGAGTTCTTCCGTGGAAAACTGGGCGCAGGTACCGCTGCATCACTATCGAGCGGCAAATTGGGATTGGCAAAGGTACGTTTAAGGGTGCGTCTTATGAGATCGGCTGGTGGCTTCAACACCTTCATTGGATCCCGAATGATCGTATCTTGACTGTCCACGGAAACCACAGCGAGATATTCAACTCGTTCAGCCACTGCAAGTCAGGCCGTGTCTTGTCCTCACATGTCCAGTCAGTCGACCACGATGCCTGCACGGGGCGTTCGTCGAGAAAAATTGCATACGTCCGATGTCAAGGGGCCACTAGCCCAGTCCTCCTGGAATCCTTCCTCTCGGAGCACCACGTACCACTTGGGGAGCGCCCCTTTCTGGCCCCAGTCCTTCTGTTTGCAATCGGGCCAATTGAACGGGTTTGCGCGAGACTGGGCAATGAGGTACGACAGGAACCCCATCCAGATAACGAACCAGTCTCGGGCGACGGCGACAAGACGTCTTGCTATCCCGTGAGTCTTGTGAGCCCTGTCGAAACCGAACAAAGATGGTTTGGGAGGTGTCGTGCCATACACCTTGTAGTGCATCCAGATGGCGTCAGGCGCGTCGCACTGCATCCACGTCTGAGCCTCATCCTGTCACATCCTATAGCGTAACGGGATGGAAATGAAGGAGGGGGACAGCGGCACGAAAGCCATCCATCCCCAGATGTAGGTCCACCAGACAGGCTGATGGAACTTCGCGATCTCGAGTCGTTCGTCATTTCTGAAAGGCTAATAAAAGGCATTTTCCTGGGTGCCTATAATGACGGGTCATGTGCAATTGGGAGAGTAGTAGATCGCGCCATCCACGACCACCGCGTGGGCGTTGGCCCAATCGAACGAGAAAGAAGGGGGCGGCATGGTGTTCTAAACAGCGATTCATGAGTACTGGCTAGAACATCATGCATGAAATGCAAACTTACTTGATGCAGGCAAGGTAAAAAATCCGCGAAAGTAGCGGAATCGAGGTCTCTTCGTTCAGCGGATCTATAAGGACGTGGTCAGCTAGGCGTCATAGAACACTTGAGGTGGGTCCACCTGCACGGGAGGCAGCAAACTCAAATGGAGTCTTGCCCTCCTGTTCCGTCAACTCGCTTCCGAGCTGTGCAAACCAACCAACGTCAGTCGCGAGCAAAAACAAACCAAGCTCGACACGTACCGTGATTCGAACGAGTTTATGATCGTACTCGAACTCTAATTGACCAAGACTATCTTTCACATACTCGCGCTGCCACTCAATAGAGAGAAAACGGGCTTGAAGGGGCTCCTTCCCTGAGCGAGGGTAGGTAGCCCGATAGAGCACCCCAAACTGCACGACGTCGACACGAAGCTTTTTGTCAAGCTTCTCGTTGATGTTCTGCCGATCCTCCTCGATATCAGGGCCGACGTAGGGGGTCTTTCGGAGCGCCTCGACGAGGTGGGGTGGCGGTCTGGGGTCCATGCGAAACTTGAGCTTGTTCTTGTCCATCTTTATGGGGTCTCGGTACGTAGTTGAGGAACTTGTCGCCGATTTGCCCGGTGGGCAAGGTGAGGGTGCCCGTTCTATTGTTGCGGAGTACCCGGAAGTTGAGCCTGCCCTCGACGACCGGCGCAAAGTCGTCGGAGTGGAGGACCTTCACGATGGCCCGTATCACGGCCCATTCATGTGCCTCCTGTGGCACGTACCTGATGAGTAGATCCATTGCCGGCTTGGTTATAACCCTCCTGGAGAGTGTATGAGGGAGAGGTGGAACAGATGGGTGTTATCAGATGGTGGTGTGGGACAAAGAGAGGAGTTTAGACGTGCAAGGCTAGTTACAACTGCATTTGTGATCTGGAATGGATTGCGGTTGGTGCCCAATTTACGATTAAACCAAACTGACCTGATTAGCCAGAGGGTTAATCTCCTTATTTCTGTCATTAACTTCACGACACCGTCCAGGATGGACACCGCAGTCAGGTTGGTAGACGAGGTTGAGGCTCGCACGACCCGTAGCAGAGTCGACAACGTCTCTGGGATGTTGGTCGGGTGCCAGGATGTGGGGCGCAACGGCCATGACACAGATATCTGTGGCAGGGCCGCGTTCTTGACGCGGGTGCTCGCAAGGTGGTTCTTGACGGCGCTTGCGCTGCGGTCGTGGTCCCGAGAACGGTACCAGGACATTGCAGCAAGGGAAAGGTGGGACATAGCCAACTGTGGTTGTTGTGACAGGGCTGCAAATACACAAAAATAAGGGCTGCCCCTTTTGAGTTTCTGGATCTAATCTTATCTCGACCCCATTTGTCTTATCGCCATCTATGGCGGCGGGAGCTCCAGTGTAGGATGTTACACGCGGGAAACATGTTTGCCTGAACAGTTTATTTGTGTCTCTGAATTGTCTGATGCCGTGCCTAATTTTTGAATGCCAACAAATGCTGTCTAAAATTCGTGAGATTGTGTGCCCAGCGTCAAAATCAACACCCCATGGCTCCGCTGTCAGCATGGTTACGTCAACGGGTTCTTTAGCTGCCATATAAGGTGCCTCGCTTAGCGGCCGGCGCCTACCAACTCGCCTACGCACCTGTCGTGGGGTCATCTTTTGCATAACTTTCACAGGATTAATGCTGACACAGTTCCAAGGAAAAGATAAAGGTGAAATGTGACTAGACTAGATTACGAGGGCGTGAGAGATGGCTTAAAAGCTATTTCTGTCGAGTCGGAGTGCTTCTTGAGGGTCCAGACTTCTTGACACCCGCCACAATGCCCGAGGGGGACGTCTCAAACGCAACAGCCTTCGTAATCAATACGGGAAGGGGCACAGGTATGATGCAGCAGGAGGTAGCAGCTCAGGAGTGTAAGTCCTTTGTCCTCGTCTTCTCGATCTTAGTCGATCATCGCCGATCTTTTAGATCAGCTTGTTGTTGTTCCTGTAACCCATTCCAGCGGTCTGCAATCCCTGACCGCAGAGGTACTCGACTACTCTCCGCCTGAATGGTCGGACGATGCCCTGTGCAACCTATGGCCTGCCAATTGGGTGGCGCGAGCGGTTGGCGAGACGTGGCGGCACCTCTTGATCCCCACCGTCCCTGGACAGCTCTTCGCTCTTACTTGTGGAAAACTTATCCTCATATGCGCCGGTCTGGTAGCGATGACGATATCCCTGGCACTAGAAGGTATCATCATCGGCATGCCTCTCGACATCTTCTGGGCAATCGTGAGCGTTGATTATCCGGGAACGAACAAAAATGCAGCCAAGGCGGCAACTATACGCAACTTCCATTTACCTGAAGAACTTATCGAGCCACTTTCCTCACCTGCGCATCCAAGGAACATGAAAATTCTCGCAGCATTCATCAGCAAGAAGTGGGCATGGGCTATATGCGACAAGTTCGGCCTGACCAGGATGCACGTACTCACGAAGTCGACCCCATGGCGTCTGCAGGATATTCCTGTGGGAAAAAAAGTGCGTTGCATGCCGCTCGTTTTCATCAGCCATCTTGTTTACAATAGGGTGTTCAATGTTAGATGTGGAACAAGCTATTCCGTGTGATCAAAGGCGGACCTGATTGGGTGCTTCAGCAACCTTGCGCCGCCAAACGTCTCAACAAGTGGAGGGCTTTTATTCTGGAGGAGCGTCGAAATTATCTCCAGGCTGTGAAGAGTTGGAAATACGGTACTCTGGATAAGTTTCTCGGGTGGGTCTGGGCCATGCATTGCCTCTGAAGGTACACTCAGTATACACCCATGTAGTCTCAAGAGCCCCAAGAAGTGCCAGGACCTCCATCCAATAATCAACGAGATGCTGGATAATCATTTCGGCTGCTTCGGCGGGTTCGGGCGTCATTGTGCTAACGATGTATTGTACAGTATCTGCCTTCATCCCGCCACACCTGCCTACATCATATGCTCTGACGACTCCCTCTTCGACAAGTTCAAAGGCATGCTTACCACCTATATGGCTCAATTTCGTCAAGATGAATTCCTCAAAACAGTTGGTACCATCGCCAACACGAACAATCCCTTTGCGTTTAACGAGCACTCCAATACGATCTACCTAACCAAGTGGGTGTGGGTATTCCGCAGAACGACGGCGATAGTGCCCACAAGAATCTACAACCAGTATTTGGAGCTTGGCCTCCTGGATGAGGGCCACACAATTGGAAGTCCTTATTACGCTGACCCGTCTCATGTGCTCGACGAAAACAAGCAAATATTTACGTATCAACCCATCTTCTACATACCTGAGCCTATTCATGCGTATACCATAATATGCGCCCATCTACCAGGTTCATGGATGCCGCCCGGCGAAAAGTACGAAGCGGTGAGTGCATGAATCTCAGGTGAGCTCATCCATGATATTTGTTTCATTTCAGAAAGTTTGCACGAAGGATCTAAAGGAGTTCTCATATCAAACCAGTGTCGGCCCCGCTCAATTTCACAATCAGCTAAGAAACAGGCCAGACTACAGGAACCTAGAGATAGGCACATTATCTATAGGACGGTCTAAGAAGGTGCGTTCACATTTCACATTACTATATAAACAGTCTTGACATGGTATGATCTGGGACAGCTGAAAACTGGAAAGCGTGGCCGACCAAGGAAAAGCATTACGAAGAAAGGTCGCGATTATCTTCGACGGGTCCAAAAGGGCAGAAGGATTCGTACCAGCCATAAATAGGTATTCTTTGTGCTGAAATACTGCATCTTCGACTTTGAATCAAGTTTGTCTTCGTATCGTACCTATGTGGCGGGACTCCAGTCATCAACTCTTGCGTTGACCCGTCGGCCAGTCACCCACAGGCCGCTCACGGTCGCCCCGCCTATTCGGACTTGCCGTTTACAGAAGCCCCGTCCAATATCACACCCCTCCAGTACTGTAATAGGAATGGCTAAAGTCGAGCCAGACGGGCTGACCAAACATGAACGGTATCGATTAAAGTAACCCTCCACCTCATATCCGGCCAATCATTCTCTGAGCCCGTTTATTCTT